CACCTTAAGGCATGTCTCGCGCACCTTAAGGCAGGTCTCGCGCACCTTAAGGCAGGTCTCGCGCACCTTAAGGCATGTCTCGCGCACCTTAAGGCATGTCTCACGCACCTTAAGGCAGGTCTCGCGCACCTTAAGGCAGGTCTCGCGCACCTAAAGGCAGGTCTCGAGCAGGTCTCGCGCACCTTAAGGCATGTCTCGCGCATGTCTCGCGCACCTTAAGGCAGGTCTCGCGCATGTCTCGCGCACCTTAAGGCAGGTCTCGCGCATGTCTCGCGCACCTTAAGGCAGGTCTCGAGGGCACCTCAAGGCATGTCTCGCGCACCTTGAGGCAGGTCTCGCGCACCTTAAGGCAGGTCTCGCGCACCTTAAGACATGTCTCGAGGTAGCCTCGCGTTTTCTTCAGTTTGCTGTAGATGGCAGCGATGTTGTCGTGCGCGAGCTTGCAGGCGGCGCCCAGACCAGCGATCATCGCAGTGTTCTCCGTGCCTGCCATGTTGTTATGTTATATTATATCTTATTATATTATACGGTATTATATTATATTATATCATATATTACATTCTCCGTGCCTAACCATGTTATTATATTATATTATATTATACTGTGTTATATTATGTTATATTATATTATTATATTTTATTATATGGGAGATAGTGAAGTGGTTCATTGATACATCGGTGTATGTGAATATTGCCGTATCCCTCTCTCCTGGCCCCACTCACCAGGCCGTATCCCTCTCTCCTGGCCCCACTCACCAGGCCGTATCCCTCTCTCCTGGCCCCACTCACCAGGCCGTATCCCTCTCTCCTGCCCCCACTCACCAGGCCATATCCCTCTCTCATGCCCCCACTCACCAGGCCGTATCCCTCTCTCCTGGCCCCCTCCATACAAGAGAGGGTAGACCGGCAAGAAGCCCTTGGGGTCCTCGCGTACGTAGAGCGCCCCAGCCCGTGGACCGTAGAACTGCACGCATGAAACGCTTTAAGAAGATTCTAACTTATTGTACAATAACGTACATAAAGCCAATCATGCATTCTTCAGTATAATTGGTAGCGCTTGTGGTAACTAAACATTCTAACTTATTGTACAATAACGTACATAAAGCCAATCATGCATTCTTCAGTGTAATTGGGAGCGCTTGTGGTAACTAAACTTATAAATAATATTGGTTCTGAGATGTTATTGGGGGCAGCGAGAATGGTGAAGGTGGTCAACTTGCCGACTAAGTGTTAAGTGTTAAAAATAAATAAGTGTGAAAATAAAAATAAGTGGGAAAAGAAGTGTTAAGTCAGTCACCAATTGTGCAAGTTCTCCCACTTAACATGATGAGAGAGGCCTGCAATCGACATCATAGGTAGACCTCAACTATGAGAGACAAACTGTCTCTGTACGTTAGTGCCTCTAACTAGACATCGAGGAAATAGCCTGCATAACAACACGGAGTGAATGATAAATAAATTTTAAAATATGATCTCCCTAGTAGTAAATATGATCTCCCTAGTAGTAAATATGATCTCCCTAGTAGTAAATATGATCTCCCTAGTAGTAAATATTATCTCCCTAGTAGTAGCAGCACTAAAAAAATACACAACAAAGATTAGGACTTATTGATAGTCACACACCTAGTGTCCCTGCTCATACCACGCCACACACCTCACACACCACACACACCTCACACCCCTCACACACCTCACACACCTCACACATCTCACACGCCTCACACCCCTCACACCCCTCACACCCCTCACACACCTCACACCCCTCACACCCCTCACACCCCTCACACACCTCACAGTCCACGCCCAGATCGTCGACGTCGACGTTGAGTGTAGTCCACGCCTCACACCCCTCACACCCCTCACACCCCTCACACCCCTCACACACCTCACACACCTTATGCCCCGTAAGCGTCAGGTAGTCCACGCCCAGATCGTCGACGTCGACGTTGAGTTTGCCGACGGCCTGCGAGGCGTCCGTGTGCACGAGCACTGAGAACAGCTTCCGCTGCCGCCGCGCCTTGCTTACTTCCTCGTATACTTTCCTGTAACATACAATTACACATCAGTCATACATATAAGCCATACAATTACATATCAGAACAAATTACACATCAGCTGTACAATTATATATCAGACATAAAATTACATATCGGCTATACAATTATATATCAGCCATAGAATTGCATATCAGCCATACAAGTACAAATCAGCCAATCATGCAACATATTACATAGCAGTTAATCAATTACATATCAGCCATACTCAGTGAGCCCAGCTCATGTCTCCATATACAGGTCATATACCGGGGATCATAAATATTCTTAAGACTGAGCAAATTCAAGTAAGAGAGCTCACACAGCAAACAAACACGGAATAATAAACAAGTTAATTATTACATTAAAAAAACATTTATACATAAATAACTAATGATAATAAACCAATAATATTATCCTGACACGATAAGTAGGCATCCTGGATACGCGCTCAACAACCCTTATATTTATTGCGGCGCCATAAGTATCCTGGATACGCGCCCCAACAGCGCCTATATATTGCGGCGCCATAAGTATCCTGGATACGCGCCCCAACAGCCCCTATATATTGCGGCGCCATAAGTATCCTGGATACACGGCCACCTCCGCCACACACCCGGCCACCTCCGCCACACACCTCGCCACCTGCGCCACACACCTCGCCACCTCCGCCACAGGCAGGATGATGCCACTCTCGTTGTTGGCGAGCATGATGGAGATGAGGCACGTGTTGCACTTGACGTGCTTGGTCAACTCCTCCGTCAGCCGCCGCCACCCCACCACCGTCAGCTCTGGGGGCGCAACATCTCATTAAACATCAACGATAGTGTGCTCTGTGCACGCCACCCCACCACCGTCAGCTCTGGGGGCGCAACATCTCATTAAACATCAACGATATACCCACTGACCTCACTTGACCCACTGACCTCACTTGACCCACTGACCTCACTTGACCCAGTGACCTCACTTGACCCACTGACCTCACTTGACCCAGACCTCACTTGACCCACAGACCTCACTTGATCCACTGACCTCACGTGACCCACTGACCTCACGTGACCCACTGACCTCACGTGACCCACTGACCTCACGTGACCCACTGACCTCACTCGACCCACTGACCTCACTCGACCCACTGACCTCACTCGACCCACTGACCTCACTCGACCCACTGACCTCACTCGACCCAATGACCTCACTTGACCCACTGACCTCACTTGACCCACTGACCTCACTTGACCCACTGACCTCAGTGCCCCCTGACGTGAAGACGATGTTCTCGGGCCGGCAACCGAGCAGGGTCGCCACGCGGACCCTGGCCTTATCCACGGCCCGGCTGGCCCGGCGCCCCAGGGGGTACGAGGAGCTGGGGTTGGCCCAGGCCTTCTGCAGGGTCCTGACGATGACGTCCTGGACGTAGCTAGCGACGGGCGTCGTCGCGTTGTAGTCAAAGTAGAGGGACGTCGTGAACAACGGGCGCGCCAGCGACTGGGGGGGTAGTAAAGGTAGCGATGATGTGGTATTGGTGATGTGGTGTCGGTAATGGGGTGTCGGTAATATGGTGTCGGTAATGTGGTATCGGCAATGGGGTGTCGGTAATGGGGTGTCGGTAATGGGGTGTCGGTAATGGGATGTCGGTAATATGGTGTCGGTAATGTGGTGTCGGTAATGCGAGCGGTATTTCAGATGACATTATTTAGATATATCAGACTTGCAATATATATTTCAATTCAAAAGTGTGCAAATAATATAACATAATATGAGGAATAAAAGATAGCGAAGAGAAACGTGTACACTGCGAGTCTCACCAGCGAAGCGAGCTGATCCGCAGTGCCGGCTAGTGATGGCTCAGCAGCGGTGATGTCAGCATCACAACTGTCAGGAGACATCACATTCAGCAGTTAAAAGAATGTGGTACGCACACCATTAGTGGTACGTGGACCTGTGGTACGCATACCATTAGTGGTACGTGGACCTGCGGTACGCATACCATTAGTGGTGCGTGGACCTGCGGTACGCATACCATTAGTGGTACGTGGACCTGCGGTACGCAAACCATTAATGGTACGTGGAACTGTGGTACGCATACCATTAGTGGTACGTGGACCTGCGGTACGCAAACCATTAATGGTACGTGGAACTGTGGTACGCATACCATTAGTGGTGCGTGGACCTGCGGTACGCATACCAGACATGACGACATACCAGACAGATGGACAAGACGAGCACAATAGGGCATTTCTACCATAAATGAGACAATGCGCTAAAAAGAAAGCAATAAAATCGTTATATATGCAAACTATAAATAATTAATGATATATGATAGAATATATGTGCCGCGTTTACAACTACAATATGTTGTCTATTCGGCAAATTTCTGAATCTCTGAAAGCACTGAAAAGAAACAATAAAAATGCGTGCATACAGACGCACCTGGTGGCAGTAGGCGCCATGAGAGCAAGCGAGTTCTTGACAGCGAGCCTCGGCCTCGCGTAAGTTGACGTCGACTTGACGCGACATTTGCTCTTCTTTGCACCAGAGTCTCTCTCACCGTCTTCCTCCACTGCAGAGACCTCCGCAACTTTCAACTGGCAGGAGACACTACTACCACTAGTAGTGACACTACTACCAGTAGTAGTAGTGTCTCGATGGGGCACTGCAGAGACTTCCACAACTTCAGACGTATCGGATATTGCAGCGCCATTACTGCGTGTAGCATCGGCTGCAGCAAGCGAACTTGCGGGCTGAGACATGTTGGGAGCGTACAAACTAGAGGATCTTTGAGGCTGTTGTTGGTCCAATAGCACAGGAGGACTACAGCTAGACTTATACGAGCCAACAGCTTGACTAATTCCTTTATTCAAGACTATTTCAAAAGACGATATCGGTACAGTGTTAACAGCACCAGATAAGCTTAGTGCCGAAGAAACAGTACAAGATCGAGGACTATCCGCTGTTGGAGAAGAGAGGGTAAATGAGTTAGCTAAACCGTTGCTGACAGTGACTCTGGTACAAGAGCTAGTCATCCCCAGTGAAGCTTTGGTCTCATTCAACACATCAGTTTTAATTGGATTACCTAAATCCTGACAAGCTGATGTATCGTCAGGATCAGACACATCAGGCTCATGCTTGATTTCGACTTCAGCGCAGCTGCCAACGGATGCTTCGCAAACATCGTGCTCATTTTTGGCGCTAATAGTTTGATTTTCATGTAATTTTGGATAATTTGAAGTTGCAAGACTGAACTTAGACTCCTCCGTTAAGACAACATCCAGGGGAGGACTGGCGCAAGTAGGAAGAATGTAAGGAGGACTTGGAGACGTTGAGAGAAGCTCTGGTGGAGCATAAACTTCCTCGCGTTTGACTTCCGCTTTACTGTCTTGAACGCACAACCTTCCATTCTGTACAACCAATTCATTGACATTAACTGTAGTTTTGCCTTTCAGATCAACTATGTCGGAAGACTTCAACACGATACTGAAGGGTTTCACAGAAGGGAAGAGCTCAAAGCCGAGATCTGAAGACTTCTTCGTTGCCGAGTTTTTCACATGAGCGTCTACATCGACCGCACATTTAAGCGTACTAGAAGCTATTGAGTAACCTTTCTTTGAATAAGAAAGAACAATTCTATGTGAATTACACGATGACGATGTAGCAGGTGATGAAGATGTAGTGGTGACAGAATCACTTCCATTAGCCATTGAAGCTATGGCGCTCACGGGCACCTTGTTAACACAAGTCTGGGATGTGGTGGCCACAGCGGGTCTCGGACCAAACACAATCTGCCTCTTTAAGAACAAATTCTTGACGTCTTCAATGCTGTTAGCTCTGACCAGCAGCATGGGGGGCTTAGGCTCACCGGCAACTGAATGAGGCTGCACCAAGAACGTCTGTGTGGTGGACGTGGCTTGGGTTAGCGAGGTACTCGACAGACAAGGAGCACTCACTGAAGTTAAGGGTGTCTTGTTGGTAGCTGTTTGAACGGGAGCATTACTACTGCAAGGTATTAAGCTATTTTCATTGGAAGAAGTTGGAACGTTCATCGTATTGCCCACAATTATGTTTTTTGCATCACATTTCGAAATATGCGAATCTACAGAGTGATTAGTGCTTGAAGTATTATGTATCGAAGTTGAAGCCTTAGAAATCAGCAGTGTTCCGAATCTAACTAACGTTGTGTTCCCACCTGACACAACTGCACTAGAAATTGATGAGCTTGTTCGAGCATCTGATCTAGAGGTCATCTGACTACTGTTGCTAGAAAGGATCATGGAAGTTGCAGGAGAATCCATTTGATTCCATCTAGACGTTGTGGCAGGATTAGACATTACATAGTTAGGAGAAGTAACTGTTGGCACAGTCGTAGGTGAAGAAATTGAATGCTGGCGTATCACAGGAGAAGACGTGGTCGACTCTTTCACTACTGGAGCAGCCAACCCGCGCGTAGCACTCATCACGGCAGGGTAGTGAGGAGTTCTAGGGTTAATACAATAAGATGCCTTCGATGGAGATTCCGGAGATTTGGATTTTTTGGAATAATTCGTCAAAGTTGAGTCGGGAGCTTTGAGATTATTCATAGATTTTTTATCTTTATTTGATTTACTGGTTAACACGTTATTCAAAGAATTTTCAGAGATTGCACTGTTCACACCACTTGCACAAGAAGACATGCTATTAAAGCCGAAAATGTTCTGATTATTGTCGTGAGAACCTAAATTTGATTTTAAAGAACGACCAAAACTTTGATCTGGCTCTTTTGTGGCATTCAAACCTTGAACAGGAGTAATAGTTAAAGCTGGACGAGCCAACAGAGCTGCCTGGACCGACGACACAACATCAGCATCCTGGGCTGCTGGGACTGGGCTCTGCGAGGTCCGTAGAACAGTTTGAGGCGCGACCACCTTACCAGTATCAAGTATCACAGCTGGATTGTATTGCGTCACGCCAATATGGCGTCTGATATGTCGAATATATTCCATATTACGGTAGTCCTTTCCTTCTGATTCATCTTCACTGCTCTCAACATCACTGAAAACTTCGTGATCGCTTACTACCACATCGCCATAGTCTTCAAACATAGACAAACTATTTCCAGGCTCGTGGATGAGAACTTGCGGCTCAAGTATTGAAGACGGGACTCGCTTCACTACGGGAGATATTGTGAAAGTGTTTTCGCCATTATTTATTCCAACTTGCGCTCCAACTTCACTCGAGAATTTTTCTTCCTTGATAGCAGAAGATGAAGACACTTGAGATGCTGGCGTGATAGATACGGCTTTGGAAGGAAACGGACAAGATATACCATAAAAATCACTGAGAAGTTTGGCAGCTTTAGGTAGCACGTCTGAATACTTAGCAAGGATGTTGTCAACGAGAGAATCTTCGAGGTCCTCAACAGGATTACTGTCAGCGTCGTCAATCATTTCTTCTTTGATGAAATCTAAAGAATCGGCGGCCTCTGACTGATCGTGTGATAATTCTGTATCTTTATCATTCAACCCAGACGTAAGTTTGCCATCTTTGTTGTCCCAGTCTGAAGAGGAACACTCGTTTTCTTTCTTGAATACTTTGGCTTTACGCTCTCCATCCTCAATAGGGTGAGAAGATATAGCGCAGTCTCTTTGATGGTCGCTAGCATTCAATACATTACTGCCTGTGCATGATGATCCAGAAGGAAGGCCAGAACATCCCACTGTAGAGTCAGTATTTTTATCGCTATTTGAGCAGTGATCGCGTGAAATTTTACTTTGGTATAAATCATTCGAAACTAAATCCTTACTGGAAGCCTGATTTGCTTGTGAAATTTTCTCGCCTGCCGGTTTTTCTGTAGTTTTCACAGAAGTTTGTTCTTTGTTCATGGCAAAAGCAGGCTGCTGAGATGTCTCGTTTGATTTTGTTTTCAAGGAATTTTTTTTGCCCCTGGCAGTGAAGTTCCATTTAACTTTCACCGATTCTTGATCGGAAAGACTGTTTTCAGAATCAGTCTTTGTTGTGTTCAACTTGGCAGTTGAAGACTTGAGTTGACTAGCATCAGATCTCTTCTTTGATGTAGCTTTTGCTCTGTTCTGCGCACTGTTTTTCATCTTGAAGACCCTATACTTGACTTCATTGTGAACCTTGACGTTTGTGACAACCATATTTCTTGTAGTGAAAAACTTATCTCTGACCCCTGAATGGTGCTGAGTTGGAAGTATCTTCCAATCATTCCTTACTGTCTTCTCAGATGCAATCTTTGAAGAAGCTGAGGCTGTTTCAACAGTTCCTCTTTCCACAAGGTCAGAATTTTTTTCAACTCTACGCCCATTCTTATTTGCAGTAGACAGCTTAGCATTTGTTAGTCTGAACAAGTTAGGGAATAGACTGGCCAAATCACTCTTGCTACACTTAGTCGCATGTGGCGAAGTCTGCGCCACCTTTTGCCGCTTCTGGCCGCTGTCTGGACCACTATCGCCAGGGTGTTGTTCATTGTCCAGAGGTCGCTTTTTGGCAAGGAAAACCTCCCAGCCATTCTTGGCCATTGCTGCCGCTTGACTGAGGACTGTAGCAGCATCTGTAATCAAAATCATTGTTAATCAACCACTCCAAAAATAAAAGGAAATAGTTTATTAGGATTATTGGGGTAGATGCAATAGAACACAATATATCAAAAAATTTTGATGGATCACAATAGTGTACAGTACTACCTAGGGTTTGAAAATTTTCTGAAAGTTAAATGAATACATACAGCATTTAAGCAGAGAAAATACAATATTAACTTTAATTAATATATAAATCTCATGAAAGTAGTACGTAGATGAGTTAATAGATCACAACAGTGTACAGTACTAGGGTTTCAAAATTTTTCTGTGAGTTAAATGAATACATATAGCATTTAAGCAGAGAAAATACCATATTAACTTTAGTTAATAATTAAATATCATGAAAATAGTATGTAGATGAGTTCTTGAACTTTCAAAGGTGCTGCATCACTGATTTATGCTACAGGTACACCTTATCTTTAAATAGAAATGAAACACTTTGTTCCAAATCTGTTAGGCATCTTCTATGTTCAGAAATTTTGTACTCTAAGAACATCTAAGAACAGTTAGAGGAATTTTTATTCACACAAATTATAGGTACCGTAAAATGGGGTTATATTGACCGGCGGGGTAACTTTGACCACTTTTCGTTTTTTCAACAAAAACCCCCAAACTCAAAAACGATTTGACATAGAAAAATTTTGTCAATGGCCATCGAAGGCCTAATACTGAGGCTACGTAACACAATAGAAAGATTTAAAAAGTTTGCATATCTAATAGGTTAAAAAATTAATAATGTGACCCACAAAAAACAGCTACGGTATTATTTAAAGCCTGTCGGAGTACCCCCTCAAATTTTTTCATTTTTTGGTAAAATAACTCCAGGTTTTGATGCATTGTAGTAGAACTCTTCTAGTTACATATGTAACTAGAAGAGTTCTACTACAATGCACCACAACCTGGAGTTATTTTACCAAAAATAAAATTGATTTTACCACCCGGTCAAAGAAACCCCAAGAGCTGGGGTAACAAAGACCATCACTTTTTTTGAAATCACATAAAAACTATGAGAGGCAGGAGCCAGCAATTTATAGTGAGTAAAGGCTGTAAAGCTAGAGTATAGACCTGTATTTTGCATGTTTAAATTTAAGTTTAACTTATCTAGTAAAAAAATGGCATCATTTTGAAAAAGAAAAGTGGTCAAAGTTACCCCAGTTTACGGTACTTGGAAGTTGGGAATATTTAATAGAATCCAATTCATATAAAACAAGTGTTCATGCTTCAGTTAAATAGTATGTAGGCAGTAGGCTGCATTTCATCACTACATCAGTCAATGCAAAATACTGGAATGTTTAAATGTGCATAGAATCTGAAGTGAATAAAGTTCAACATCTCAGTCATCAAAAATTTTCATACTTGACAAAATCTACACCAACTTACTTTTGCTTTTCTTCAATTCCAAGGAAAATGACAAAATATATTTCTCCTTTTAGCTACAATTATGGATGCAAACCAATGTACAAAGTGATTTTTTTATGGCAGGTAGGTAGACTCTCAGAAATTTATGATAGATAATTTTGCAAAGTGTATGCGGCTTTACATGCCAGACCTCAAGCTCAGGGGAAGTGACTAGTGACATCATTCAGACCCCTCAAAAGAACCTATCAAGAATCAAGTGTTGTTTTTCCACAAGCAGCTTGACCTTGAAAGTTGAATTGGCATCCAAATTTTCTGAGTTCAGTTCTTAACAAATTGTTAAGCACCAAATAGCCTCATTGAATAGACAATAAGAGGCAAGCTATCTGAAGACAAAGCCAGCAAAGAACCACAGTCACCGCACCAGGCAATGGCAGGCATGTCATGGCTCCAGCGCTGGCAGTGCACCACTATGCTGCCTAGCCTAGTGAGTAGTGACAACTGACAACCATATTATGTGCCAGCCAAGCAGTTAGCAGCAATCAGCAAGCACACTGGCTAGGCCTACATTATAAATGTGTGCTGATTTTTTGTACCAATGTTATAATAGACAGGTAGGAGGCATTGATTGGCTGCTACAAAGATGAGTAGTTGAACTTAAAAAGTTGAAGCAACAGCAAAGGAAAAAAGCTTTTTAAACAAAATAACTTTGACAACTAGGTAGGCTATGTATACATTGCGCGTACGAGGAATATCCAGATTCCAGAGAATTCGTTCATTTAAATCAGCAGAGTCGAACAATTCTTCAAATGACGGTAGATTGTAGGGCATGTTTCAGGAAACAGTTCTAGTTTATTAATACATAGAAATTATTATATTACTATCTTCTCAATTAGAGAAGATTTGACACATTTCAAAAGTTACTCAGTAGTTTAAACTGTTTATTAATAAATCTGCTGGAAATTCCAATTTGATTCATTTCTGACTTTTTGTATAAACTTCGTCTTAGGTTAGGGTTAGACTGTCAACTTTGAGTAAGGCTAAGCTGTTAAGGAGATACGGAAACACAAACTGTCATCAACCTTAATGTGCTACCACCAGGCACCAGGGAGTAAAACTGACAGGAAATGGGTTGCTTTATCCAGAAATGTTGTTTTACTGATGTGTTAGACTGTTAGTGAACCTATTTGAGTGTACAAGTTACAACTGATCGTCACCAGCGTAACAGCCAGCAACGCTTCTGCCACCCAATTGTCAACTGTCAATCTGCCACCCAAATGTCAACTGTCAATCTGCCACCCAATTGTCAACTGTCAAGCTGCTCAAGCACTCGAAACGTGTACACACGTCAGCTGATGCGGTTATAGTAATGGTCACGTCATTGTCTCTTAAAATCCTGACGCATGGTGAATGTAGGAAGAGCATCTTCTTCATCATTCAATGATTATTGGAAAAAATCACGAAATTAAGAAAATATATGGCAAATATTATAAAATCTGATCGGATGACGGTGAACAATGAGGAACGATAACATTTCTAAGACAAATTTTATAAGTATTCGTTCATTTTCTAATCAATACTATAAAACCCTGCAAGCAGTACTACAATAACATAAATAAACATTTTTACATTATTATTAAAAAGTGACTACAATGCTACCGATTAATCACGACGTAAAATAAAGTTTTACAACTCATTATTAAACTCTACTACGACTGCTACTACTCAAAACTACTGTTCACTACAGATAAGCATCTGTTATTTACTACTTCTACATTTACTGCGAATTAGCTCTACTTCAGTTGGTGATGGCTACTTCAGTAGCTGTTAATTAGAGCTGATTTAGTAGCTATTAATTAGTATGGTAAATTAATGGCTGGTAACCGTGCAGGCTGCGGATACCACACGTCTGGTAACCGTGCAGGCTGCGGATACCACACGTCTGGTAACCTTTCGCCCGCCGCCAACAATTGAAGGCGGCGGCGGAAGCAGAAAAAAACGGCGGCAACCTTTCCGGTGCACCGCAGGTAGACCTATGGCGGCCGCCAGCGCCTCTGCATTATTAATTGTAAATTGGATCTGTTATATTAATTACAGCAATAAACTCATGTTTATTTTATGTAAATTCTAATTTATTTAGCAGCAATCTTAATTTATTTAGCAGCAATCCGGATTTATTTAGCAGAAATACTCTCAAAGAAAGTATATCCTGATGATTCATGATATACTTTCTTTGAGAGTACTTCTGCTAAATAAATACGGATTTCAGCTAAATAAATACGGATTTCTGCTTAGTAAATACTGACTTCTGCCAAATAAATACGGATTTCTGCTAGATAAATTCAGATTTCTGCTAAATAAATCAGGATTTCTGCTAAATAAATTCGAATTTCTGCAAAATAAATTCGGATTTCTGCTAAATAAATACTGATTTCTGCTAAATAAATTCGAATTTATGAATTTATATAAAATCAACTAGAGTTTTTTATTTGATTATTATAATAGATCGGTATAACATTATTATTAGAAAATTATGTTATTTCGTTTTATTTACAAATTACAATGGCTATGTAATTCTGTGTGAACTTGAGATGCATACGTCTTCAGTTCACACGGAAGACATCAGCGGATGGATTAATACAAATGTGAGTCACGCAGAAAATGAATTTCTCGCAAAAATAATAAGCCTGATAAATCAAACATCTTTACCTTGCTCGCCTGTGTGATGAACCACACAAATGAATAATCACCCTGCTCGCCTGTGTGATGAACCACACAAATGAACCACACAAATGAATAGTCACCCTGCTCGCCTGTGTGATGAACCACACAAATGAACCGCACAAATGAACCACACAAATGAACCACACAAATGAATCACACGAATGAACCACACAAATGAACCACACAAATGAACCATACATGTGCGCAGGTGCACAGCTCGTACGCGGTACACCACACTATATTTTCATATCTAATTTCCTATCAGTTGATGTACAATTACCTTAAGCCGTTCATAGCAGCTAAAATCTTAACACAACAAAATAAAAGTTTGAATTTTGCGACGAATAAATACTCTCAGAACATTACTGTGAAAATTATCATATTCATTGATCTAAGAGCCCTATCAATTAACGTAACGTTATAATAACTTTGAAAATTACTGCAAACTATTTTTAAGCATAAATAAAAGAATTTTCATGCTGTGAATAACGTGATTTAAAGTACACAAAATAAACTGCTTTCGTTCATTAACAAAACGAGTGACGTAAATAACGACATGCCGATATGTGCACTTAACAGACTTCTTACCGTTTTAAAATGAATAAATTTCTGCATTTGCGAGAACTTTCGAGCTGAATTTCAGGAGTTATGAATACTACTTCTATTTTTGAAACGGCTGAACTGATAGCCGTGAAATTATAGAAATAGATCAAAATATCTCAGTTTATTACAGGCTTGACGTGGCCTAGAATCAGTCGACATCTCCAGTAAGAATAAGATCAAATTACTCATGTAAATGTTGCATTTAAATGTATTCATTTAAATAAATATTCATTTAAAATGTATTGCATTTAAATGTATTGCATTTAAATGGTAATGCAACGACCAATCGAATTGAAATAACGCGAAGAAGTGATTGATATTTATAAGTGAGCGCAGTGAAGCTGAGCGGCGAACATCATCATCGCGTGACAAAATATTTCTTCGAATTTTGGGAAAATTTGTTCGCAATTTTGGAAAAAAGAAAATTCTTTGCAATTTTGGAAACAATTTCAGGAAAAAATATATTGGTTTTAAGTCAGTCTGGCAGTTTTTATAAACTCGTATTGCATGTGTGGACAAATGATTTTAATGGCACTACTCGCAATTGTGTGAATTTCTGCAATCCGAGGCTGTATATCCTTTCATAATTTAATAATTAACACGGAATATAACCTCACGTTTAGACTGTTAAGTGATTAGTACGTATTTAATTGTATAGGTTAACCGCTTAATGTTCAAACGCGCTAATAGTTAATCAGAATGCTATACCACCGTGATAATATTTGTAATGTAAAGTTATACTGTATGTAAATGAACAATGTATGGGCCGATTCTTTCTAATTTTATTCCGAAAAAATTAATAGATTTGTTAGAGCAAGAACTTTCAGTGACAAGTAAATAAGTTAAATATGATGATGCTCAAGAAATTGAACAATCTTTTGAATACTTGCAATCTTTAATGGCGCTTTGTATTTATGACGACCATCTTGGATGATTGTTGTCTGAACTATTAACACCTAGAACAGACTTAGTAATGCAACATGGTTTGATGATTTAAGACTCATTAGGAACAACATTATTTACGTCCTATTATGTTACGACAACGCGACGCGGATTGTCGCAGCTCTCGTAGACAATCCTTGTGGTTACCGACACGTTTGCTAATAACGTTTACTGCAGTGCAAACTCAATTAATAGATGTAACTCAACGTATTTTCTTTCGCTGCAGGTATTTCTGTTACTTTATTATTTCATGTAAAATAAAATAGCATGTGAAGGAACCAAGATTAATTGCTTTGATAACGACGAGAGAGCAAGTGAGCAACGGCGGGTTTAGTGCTGGGTTGGCTGGCGGCATCTGGCAACTTCGCTGCGTGCATTCACGAAGCGAGGTTTAGTTACCCTTTACGCATACTAATTATACAAACAAACGATTCATTACTCTTTTTGCTTACAATATCTTGAATTGATCAGAACTATAAGGTTTATCAACACTATTATTTTAAAGAACATCATCATTCCCGAGCTAGTAAGATGAATAGCACCGGGGAGATAACACACAACCCACATCTACACACACACACACACAACACTTGTACAAAGTTCACACAACTGACACAAGCATTCAAAGCTACAGGTATGCCATCTATACGCCACGCACAAAGCAAGTTAGCATAACAATGTCAATACTTACGTGATTTTAAAATTATAAGCTATTAAATTTCACGAAAATGATGTAAATTCAGCAGCAAATTTTCACCGTACGTCCACGACCACCGCCACAGCGCAACTGAAGAAGGAAGGGCTCGGTCGGCAGTGCCTACGGCTCAACCACGGCACGCACCAGCGATGCGAGCGACCGACCTAAACATCCGCAGAAAATGGGAAGTGATTCATGCGCTGGTTAAAGAAACATTGGTAATGTCTGAAATGCTTCTTATCTGTTTATATGCGCCATGGGCATATTTCTTCAGTGTCGACACTTCTATTGTATGTAGCCGTGGCAATGTCTGGCATGCTATTTATCTGTTTCTATGCGCTGTTGAATAGAATATAAGTTTCGGCAAGTGTGGGAAGCGTTTCATGCGCAGGTTATGTAACCTTAACATAACATAACATAACATAACATAAAATAGTGATGTCGGTGCTAAAGATCAGGCCTGATGTGGCCTGTCGCCGAATCTTGAACTTTTCGTGCCTTGTTCACAGAAGATCTAAAATCGTGTCATTTGACCGGATCTTTTCAAGACTGACGATAGTTTGAAATAGCTACTAGACTTCCTTGGCAATGTCTGGCATGTTCCTTATCTGTTCCTATGCGCTGCAATAGCGTGGTAATGAAGCCTATTAGTCGTCGCAAGTCTATAACCGTACGCTTTCATGGCGACCTTTCATAATGAAAATATATGGGTATATTTTTAAAAATTAATGTTCAAATGTATTTTAAAAAATACGATAACTTCATAAATAATAATGAGTTTTATTAAGCCGAGTTCAACATGTTATTCTAGTTGTCCCATTCACTGCTTCCATATATTGCCAGGTATCTGTTTTAACTATTACAATCTGTTACAAATATTAACTATTATTATTGTATTAACTATTGTATCTGTTGCAATCTGCAAATCTGTTTAAAACTATTGTCTATTTGTTATATCTTGAATTATTTAAACACGTTCCCCGCGTATAAGGCCATAAGTGTACCAAATATAAAATTTTAAGCAGTATTTCTATTTTTTAGATTATTTGTGTTCACGCGAAAGGTTGATTATTAAATGAAACAATTAAATGAACAAAAATATTATTCATGAAAAACATGTCTCCTTGAACAAACAATAAAAACCTGCACTAATAAGGGAATAGCGGTGCAATCCGGATACGCGAGGAACATGTGAACATGTAAGAACAATACCGGCCATAATACTACGATACGAATATGAAAACTGTTCAACACATCTGGTCGTTCAATTACTAGATTAACCTAAAATTGAAACAAAAAATTTTCCAATACCTAGAGCTTTATTTGCGAATTAGACAACTTAACAATTACCATTCATTCAATGAAGCATAATATTTAATAAACAAGTCTGGTCACGGAGTAAGTGGGCTGTGATTAATATACGAAATTTAAGTTCATGGATACAATGGAAGTGGAATCGTGAACGAGCTGTATAACAAGATAATTTTTTTGGGATACGAGCTGTATATTAATAGATATATATTTTGTGCATAAGAAAATTCATGAGCTGAAGATAGGACCTTCACGTCAGACATTCTCCGCATGCGACTTAGTTGAGTCAAAATATTCAGTGAATATCACTCAACACGTGCCGGTTCTCAAATAACGTATAAATAAATTAACTTGCTTAGTTTAGTTCATCATCAGCAACATTTAGACCCAAGGCAGTCGACCCATACAACGCTATCATTCAACATAGGAAGTTTCATGTGACGAAGTGATTTGTACCGCCGCTAGCATTCATATAGCAAGCAAGCATTGCTGGGGCGCGTATCCAGGATACTTATGGCGCCGCAATATATAGGGGCTGTTGGGGCGCGTATCCAGGATACTTATGGCGCCGCAATATATAGGGGCTGTTGGGGCGCGTATCCATCCATACTTATGTCAGGATACTAACACGACCAAAAATTTATTCTCAGTAGAAAAATAGGTAGGCATAGCAATACTGGGAGGATAGGTTTGAATTGAAAATTTAAATTATTTTTCTTTAAATGCTTTGATACATTTAATGTGTTTATACATTTAAGACGTACATTGTTTTTTTTTAAGATATGTGTATGAACGGGTCTTTCTATAATTAGATTCATATTTGGCATTTCAAAATTGCTGAAATTTTAGAATCCGAACAATGCCGCGCAAACTTGCTGGGATACAATGATTCTGAAAATTTTCTGAAATTCTCAAGCGACCTGGAACGATCTGTGACTATGTCGTGTTGTCTCGGTCTGGAAAACTGTTATCTGCCCATGGTCCAGATGGTTGTTCCTTGACAATTGTCCAGACGTTTGTTACTAGACAATTGTTGAGATGTTTGTTACTTGCAATTGTTCATTTGGTTATTACTTGAAAATTGTCCAGACGTTTGTTACTTGTCAATTGTTCAGACGTTTGTTTATACTTGCCAATTTTTCGATCGAAATTTTATTCATGCCTTACCGATGACAGTTGTGCATGTAATGACAGTGAAATAGAACATCAAAACACGAAAATAACATTACGCAATGATATGTACTATCTCCGATCTTAACGAATAACCGGAAGAGCTCGGTTGAAGTAACATTTAATCATCGAATTGGCTGAATCGTCGAGCATGTAGTTTGTCGGACGTTTGTAAAAGTTTTTGACTCCAGAAACCTTTCCGCTAAGAACAGCATCTAAGATTTGGTGCTATTGTGTTTTTACCAGATCAACATGGACCTCTTAGAGGCTCGAACATAATAAGAATAATAACCATACCGATATCAGCATTGAATGAGCCATTATACCTGTAACTGATTCTGTAACTGATATTTTCACAGCTGGTTGCGCGTCTCAAACATGCAACTCACTGCTCCGATTTTACTGTGCTTTACCACCCACCTACCTCGATGATTTTGACCAGAACTGTCGCTGTTTGCTAGGATCGAATCCACAACTCACTGCTCCAAACTTGTTACTCTGAACTGTAACTACTAAGCCACCCTGTCCCTGTCAGGTCCAATAATTGATAAATGTCGTTTTCAAGTCGTGATTTAGGATTTTTGTTAAAATCATGCATGGGCGACCAGTTTTTGAAAATGAGAATGACAGCTCGTAAGGAGTGAAGTCATGGCCTACATGGAACCGCAACGAAAAAATATTATATGTATAAACGAAATGACATACCTTGTATAGAATATCAATATTATAATTTTTGTATGTAATCTCGATATAATATACCTCTCTGAAGCTATTGACATAAAAGTGTAGACCTTCTACGTATACTTTCCTGGGTTGCAAGGCTTTTATAAGATTATTGTGTTTTTACGGAGTAATATGTTTTGAGCGAGTGTATCTTTGGCCTAAAACTTTCAAGAAGTTAAAACGATGATGGCGATCACGCTCGTCAGATGCAGCAAAGCGTAAGCCCAAATTTACGATATGAAGAAGATTGTAGCGCAGCAGCGATGCCATCTAGCGGCCAGTATATTAGAACTTCCCTTCAGGGCTGAAGTTCCTTATGTAAATTTCCGAACTTTTCCAGGAAAGACTGGTCAAAGTTGGCGGTAATTTCAACATTTCCATTCCAGATGCGACTTTCGTATTGTCTCGCTCGAGTTCGCCATACTTGTATGCCAACTTACTTGATGCTCGTTCGAGACACTCCGACCGAGACGAGATGGCAGCCAAGGACGAGACATTGCACCTTCTTGTGCGCGAGACAGTGAAGGATGTGCGCGAGACAGTTGAAGTTGTGCGCGAGACAGTTGAGGTTGTGCACGAGACAGTTGAAGTAGTGCGCGAGACAGTTGAGGTTGTGCGCGAGACAGTTGAGGTTGTGCGCGAGACAGTTGAAGGTTGTGTGCGAAACAGTAGTTGAGGTTGTGCGCGAGACAGTGAAGGTTGTGCGCGAGACAGTTGAAGTTGTGCGCGAGACAGTTGAGGTTGTGCGCGAGACAGTGAAGGTTGTGCGCGAAACAGTTGAGGTTGTGCGCGAGACAGTTGAGGTTGTGCGCGAGACAGTTGAGGTTGTGCGCGAGACAGTAGAGGTTGTGCGCGAGACAGTAGAGATTGTGCGCGAGACAGTAGAGGTTGTGCGCGAGACAGTAGAGGTTGTGCGCGAGACAGTGGAGGTTGTGCGCGAGACAGTGAAGGTTGTGCGCGAGACAGTGAAGGTTGTGCGCGAGACAGTGAAGGTTGTGCGCGAGACAGTGAAGGTTGTGCGCGAGACAGTGAAGGTTGTGCGCGAGACAGTGGAGGTTGAAACATTGTGAGTTTCAACCTCAATGAAAACATAATGAGTTTAATTTCTAATACAGTATGGAAGATGCTCGTAAAAACGCCGAAATAAGTTAAACTTTAATTAGTTAACTTTAAGAACCAATTAATTAACCACAAATTGAATCAACGATGAGAAAGTTTTTCGTCTATTTCATTTTAATAATTAACATTTTAATAATTAGTAACATTTTTAAAGCTTATGATGCTGTATAATTGAGGAACTCAGGCTTAACCGATTTCGGTTTTACAAAAAGAGGTTAGACAAAATTTGGGAGACATCTGAGAAATCCACAAAATATATTTTATTATTGTGTAGGTCCACCTTTAGCGGTAATTATGGCCTCAATACTCCGAGGTATTGATTCACACAAATTGTGAATTGTTTCTAAAAGAATTTTAACCCATTCTTCAGTTAAAACTCCCTCCAGCTCTTTTAAAGACGATGGCGGCGGGAATCGACTTCTGACTTGCATCTCTTAAATCGACCATAAATGTTCGATAATATTCAGGTCTTTTGATTGTGGTGGCCAAATTGGATGCTCAACTTCATTAGAATGTTCCTCGGGCGGTTTTTAAAAATTTCAGCTGTATCTATCGGGGGCATTATCATTTTGATAGATGGCGTTCTCCTAGAGAAACGGTGTTTGAACCATTGTATCAACGATGTTTTGTGAGAAATAAATCACATTTTTCCACTGCTCGAGGGACCAATTCTGGAGGGTTTTACACCAACTCTAAACGCTTTGAAGCATTTGCATAGGCCGTTTTTCCTCCTCT